CGGTGCCGGAGTCCGGGCCTTGCCTCACCTGGCACCGGCCAGGACAGGCCTGGGGGAGCAACGGGGAAAGCCCCCAGGCCAGAACACGGGCCTCTCCACTGCTGCGATGACCTCCCGGGGGCTGGTGGGGGCCTGGCGGCCTCCCCTCCAGCACAGCCAGGAGACGACCCCCACTGCAGGCCGAGTCTGCTGCAGCCGCCGCAGCAGCCCCCACCGTCCCAGGGAGAAGCCTTCAGCCCCTCCCCCCCCGGGTGGGTGGGCAGGCCGGCTGGCTGGCCAGCCCGCTGAACAGCTGCCCGGGTAGGCCCAGCAGCCCCCCCCGCGTGAGCCTCCCTCTCAAATTCCTGGGCTCTGCAGCGGGAGGATTCCTGCCCTTTTTAGTCCATGGTCTTCCTCCCTCCGCAGCGCCTGCTCCCCCCACCCCGTCCCTCCCGGGCTGCAGACTACCCCCGCCTCCCACTCTGGGGACAGGCCAGGGAGGAGCCCAAGCGGAGAGGTCCCCTCATGGCAGGCAGGTGCGGGGGGCGCACCCTCTCCTTGTTCGAGCCCTCCGGCTGCCTCTCTCCCCAAAAGAGGGGGGCACTCTGCCCTCCAGGACTGGCCTCCATGCCAAAGAGGGGGGCAGGCCCCCAGATGGGCTGTTCAAGAAACCCACCCATGCGCGAGAAGCACCTGGGCCACCCTCAGGATGCCCCCTAAGCTACCTGCCACAGGCCCCCAAGGAGGGGCCGTGGGGTTCAAGGCTGAGCATCCAAGCTGCGCTGGCAGGTGCGGCCCTGGGGTCAGACGGGGTCACACCACCCGGCTCAGGTTGCCCAGTTGGGGTCAGCATCCTCTGGCTGCCCTGGAGCTGCCCCTGCGGGGTGGCGCTCCATAGGAGAGGGACAGGCAGGGCCTCTGAAGGAGGGAAGCCAAGCGCCTCCTGCCCCCTGCGAGGCCTGGCCCACCAGAAGCAGCGCTCCCACCAGACTCACGGCTCACCCCTTCCACGAAGCTCTTCCATCCTGAGATCTTGCTTGAGGCTGCCCGGTCAAAGTTCCCCGCAGGGCTGGGAACCCCTGCCGCATGGGGAGCCCCTCATCGCCGCCCCCACTTTCTGGGCCTCCAGTGCTGAGAGGGCCCGCTTCCAGCAGGCCTTCCCTTTGGAGCCCGTGCTGGCCGGCCCAGAGTCCGCTGCATGCCAGGGACTGCCGCCGTAGTGGGCAGCGTGGCCAGCAGACGCCTCCCTCCATGATGCTTTTCCAACCCAGAGCCTACCTCCAAGCGGAGAAGAGACCCGGCACTCGGCCTTCCCTCCTGCATCTTTCCTGGAGTGCATTTAATGTTTGGAGCCACCCCACCCCGGCCCACAGCAACCTCTCCTACCCATTTTACAGGCAGGAAAACCACGGCTAGGTTTGCACAGCACCACGGCCCTGAAACAGAGCTGGCAAATGACAACTGCTGCGATCCCATCCAACGAACCAAAAAAACCCCACACCCACATCACAATTTAAGGTGGTTTGCACAACCACCAAACTACTCTCAATCCAAGACTGCGTGAGCCCGGCCAGGGGCCTGTCTCGGATCGAACGAGGAGGGCTCAGCCATTCCAGCGAGCAACTGGGCAAGAGCTTGTCCACCTTGTCTCTCGTGCTGGCTGTCCGCTCAAGCCAATGACCGGCTAGCCGAGGCAGGATTTTTCTGCATCCCACCCCCCAGGCCAGGCAAATGCTGCCAAATTCCGGAAGCCACGTGGCTGCAACCGAAGCTTCCCTAGGGCCGGAGAGGAACACAGGGGTTCAGCTTTCCTGGGAGCTGTGCACAGAGAGGCCTTCGGACAGGACCCCCGTGGCTGTACCTGAAGGCCGCCCCCCCCTTTAGGAGGCCGCAGGCAAGCAGACCAACCCCTGGGCTGGGATGTGGGTCAAGGCAGGGCTCCCGCAGTGAGGCCGGGAGGAGACTTGAGGCAGCTTTATCCCAGGAGACAGCAGTGACCCCCATGTGGCCCGTGCAGCCCAGTGCGGACGGCTCTTGGTGCCCAGGGACGGTCCTCTCAGCAAAACTCAGCCACAGTGGAGCGGACATGTTGCGGCTCCCAACCAAGAAACCCCGAGTGGGTCACCGTAGGAAGGAGCCGGTCGAGAATGCTCCCAGGCCGGGCTATTTGGAGGCCCGGTGCAGCAGCCAAACCGGGTTACGTCTTCTGCAGACTTCTGAGCCCAAGTGAGGACAGCCAGATCACGTGGACTGTTCAGTGTCAACATGGGGCTTCAGCCTTGTCCTGCGCAAGCCAAGCGTCAGGCCTCTAACTGCACGATGAAGGAAGGAAACGAGGACACGCCAATGGTTCACCAAGGCTCTAGCCAAGGAGGGCAGAGAGCAGGTGGGAAGATGCAGCCCCACTTCTGCAACAGCGACCGCCCTGCCACCGATACTGGCAGCTACCCCTTGATCCCACCAAGGCTGGCAGGACCTGCGACACAGCCGCCCAGCAGCCAGGCAGGCTGGAGGGGAGCAAAACGCCCCTGAACTCTCTGAGGCACCAGGTGCCAGCGAGGCCCCTCCGAGCAGGACGTGAAGAGAAGCCGTTGGGAGAGCTTCCTCCCCGAAGAAGTTGGGAAGTGCAGCTGAACTCGGCCATCAGCAATTCTGGCCCCACAGGAGGACGGTCCCCTTCCTGCCGGTTGAGATTTCTAAGATGGCTGGAAGAGCTCTGTCTTTGCCTGTTTGTTTGCTGCGGCAGAAGCCGGCGTAAAATGACACATGGTTTGCATTCCTACAGGGCAAAAGCGAGAACGCCCTGGGGAACGCCAGCCTTGCTACCCCGTGATCCACCACAAAGCATCGCTGCCCCGAAGTGACCAACGGCTGCTGCCAGGAGAAGGCAGCCCGGGGAAGGCTGGAGCCCCGGCGCAGCGATGGCACTGCCTGCAGGACCCCCACCAACAGGCCCCAGAGAGCACTGGGGCAGACCCAGTCCCAGGAAGATGATGGGGATCAGCCCCTCTGGACCCACCGCTGCTCTGATAGCAGGCGACTCTGGGCTGCTGAACTCTTAGTCCTCCCAAACTGCCCTGTCCCGACCCTCTGAATCTGCCCGCCTGGCTTTTACCCAGGCACGTTCACACCACACACTCCACTCTACGTGGGTGAAACACGGCCTTGCGTGTTGAAAGAATCCAGCCCATTCGGCCCGTTCAGGACGTGCTCTGAAAGTGACTCGCAGAGAATCCAGCCGAGGGGGTCACAGGCAGGCAGGCTGGGAGTGGCCCAGCCCCAAGATTCAGCAGTGGTAGCCTCAGGGCCCTCCCAGGTCTGCTCCCAGGTCTGGGGGCTCCAGGTGAGCCCCCTTCTGCCCAGGCTGCAGCCCCATCAAGGAGATGGGCTTCCGACTCAGCTGAGAGAAGCCCAGCCCGCTTGCCAGCTTGGCTCACTGCCCTCTGCCTGCCCAAAGCCAGAAGAGCCCCCATGCCCAGGAGGCACTCAGCCCCAAATGCAAAGCACCATACCAGTCACTGCCCAGCATCCCAGAGGCAAACCCCCAGGCCAGGCAGCAGCAAAGGTCCAGTCTGGAGCCCCTGTGCCAGCAGGGACCTGGCTGCCTGGTCCCCCTCCCCAAGGAGACCCCTGGGGCGGGGGGCTGGTTGCTCTAGCACAGCCTGACCACTCCACCGAAAGGACTGGAGAAGGGAGTGCCCATCTGGCCACTGCAAGCCCTGGAGGAAAGGCAGGACGGAAGCCAAGCGATCTCTGTAAACACGCTTGGGAGGGGGTCTGAAGGCACCCAAGGAGGACAGGGGGCCAGGCTCCATCCCCCTTCCCCACTGCCTTCAGTCCACAGGCAATCCCAGGCCTCCAGCCAGCCATACAAGGGAGGACAGCCCCCCAGGCACCACCGGGCTCCCCAGGCTGAGAGCAGCCCCTCTGGGCCACCCGGCCCTGTCCGCGTGCCATGCCCACCCTGGCACCCGGCCTTGGATCCAAGCACATTCTTAGGGCTGAGCGCCATAAGGCTGCTTGCCCACCTCCAAGGGCAGCCAGTTGGAGTGCAGCCATGCCCCCCCAAGCCCTCTGCTCCCCAAGGGTGCCCAGCCCTTCCCTCCCAGGCCCCCTGCCCACATGGCCCGCCCAGCAAGCTTCCATTCCAGCCAGTCCATGAGTCAGTCCAAGGCACCAAGCCAGGCCTCTCCCTGCTGGCGGCCTTTCCTCGGCCTGTGCGCACACGCACACGCACACACAACACACACACACACACACACACACAGAGCTCAGCCTCCGGCCTGGGCCTGCACAGGCTGAATGCAGAGCCCGCGTCCCAAGCTGAGGCCCTGCTGGCAGCCCCCCCTTGCTGTCAGGCTTCCCCCGGAGGGTTTGGCAGATCATTTCCAGACGCATCAGCACCTGCCCTGATACCCCCAACACTGACCCACGGGGGGCTCCCCAAGACATTGCAGGCCGAGACGTCCCTGTCCAGAGGCTGCAGCCCCCCCAGTTCGGGTGCATGGCCCTTCCCCGGAGCAAGCTGTGGCCTGACAGATAACGCTTCCCTTTGGAACAAAGGCTCCTCCCGCCCCCGCCCCCCAGGGAAGGGGAGGGCCTTTCCCCCGGCCGGCGCTGGGGGGGTTTGGGCCGCCATGGCCTGCAGCCGCAGCCGGAGCGGAAGCGCCCAGCGCAGCCAGCGCGGGGGCTGCAGCGCCTGCAGGTGCATCTCCAAAGGGCCCCAGGGGGTTGCACGCTCTTGGCACTCCAGGCCTTCTGGCCAACCTGGGAGCCGCAGCAAAGTTCCCAGGGCTGCGTTCGCACAGCACGCCCAACTTGGTTCCTGAGCATCAGCCCGTTTTCTGATTAAACTAGAAACTAGCCAAACAAACTGGGTTCTCACAGCACACTCAGCAAGGGGCACTAACGCCAGCAAAAACACTAACCAAGACTGCCACCACCAAGCTCAGCATCCTGTGCCAATGCAGCCACCAGCCTTTAACGGACCCGGCTAAGAGTGTGCGCGCGAACTCAGGCCAGCGCTGGGCTGCCGGATTCCAAGGCCTTTCAGCCCACCCCACCTGAATTCAGCAGCGGCCACTTGGTCAACCGCCGGAAGGCCCCTGGCAGCCCCCTGGCGCAGCAGGAGGCGGCTGCAGGGTGTCTCCTAGCAACGGTGGCTGGCCAGGCAAAAGAGCCAGCTCAGGGAGGGGCCGAGGAGGGTCCTTGCAAAGGGGGAGATCCAGGGAGGATCCGGCAGAGCAGCCAAACTGACCTCCCTGTCTGGGTTCCTGCCCAGCAGTAGGGGAGGGGCTGCCCCAATGATGCGGCCAGGGGCCATCTGGCTGGCCCAGAGAGGAAGGCGGGGTCCCCTCGATGCCTCCCCAGGAAAGAGCCACCGCACCAGGCCGGAGGAGGACTTGGAAAGGTTTGTTCCAGAGGGGGAAGGAAGATGGACACCCCCATCCCTGCATTGCTCACTGCTGGCCAGGCTAACAGAAGCCCCCCCCAAGCACCCAGGAGCGCCACCACGTCCTTGTCTGTTCAGCGTAGAGGCCGCCCGACTCTAAGCCTTTGGGCGGCTCACAGTGCTAAAGCAACCGAAGCCAGAGAAACGGAAAGGACCACACATTTCCGAAGAAAGCGCTCAACTTCCACGTAAAACAACCCGAGAGAGGCTCACCCCCCCACTGCACAACGCCGGGGAAAGGCTTTTCCAGGAGTCAGATACGGATCTCTGGGGAGGCGTTCAGAGAAGGCCGCTTCCCGGGTCCCGGCAGGTGACACCGCTGGACCGAGAGGAGTGGGAGCGTGCCCAAGGGGGGCACCCATGACTGGAGAGAGGCAGCCCCTTGAGACCACCCAGACCTCTCGGATTTCGTCTTCCCTGCTGCCAACAGGACAGGCTTCTCTCCAGGGGGCCCGGAGAACCAACGAGCATCAAACCCCCAAGGATCCTGGGGAAGTGCCTCTTTGGAGAAGAACTCCGCCCCCCACCCCCTCGACCCCAGTCCTCCAAGCGGACTGGCCTTCCTTCTGCCAAAGCCTCCGGGCCCCTCGCCAGCCTCCTTGGAAAGAGGCTGGAGCCCTGGGCCTGGGGAGCCAACCCCTTCCCTTCCGCTCAGGTCCCCTCCCCCCCCCGCCCAGACGCCCCCTGCCTCCCCCCTCCCCCCCCTCCTTCTTCTG